AAACGGAACCGAATGATGAATCAAAAATGATAAATTTTCGAAGTGACAATACACTCACCATCAAAAGTTTTAATTAAGTTTATTGTCACCAAAAATATTCTCACTATCACTATATATTACTAGAGTAAAAAAAAATTTAATAATTAAAAATTACTTAATAATCTCGAGTTACAAAAGAAAATTTATAAATTTGTTTTTTAAAACAAATTTGTATAAAAAATTTTTATAACAAAAGCGTACAACTAGAACACATATACGTACATAAATATTTAGAGAATTTATATGTAAAGTATACATATAAGAATTATTTATGATTATGGACTTTATTAATCGTACAATATGCGCACAGTTATATAGGCGAAAAATAAATTGCATTTAGCTACATTGTATAGCTATTCAATATCACGTAATTGTCCCAATTCACTATAGTCATGTTTTATTTGGGCATTATGTATGTAAAATTACTTTTTTATTCAATTTATAAACTTATCCTTAAAATATTCCAGAATTAAAAAATATAGACTTTAACGTTAATAATGACTAAACAAATTTTTTTAACGCAAAATTGTAGGAAAAAGGAATGCTAAAGAAGACATAGGTGTGACCCTAATTACCTTTTTCCAAATTTAATACATATACATATATGCATGTATACTCGTACATGTATGAAATACGAGATTTTTATAGTTTTTAAGGTCTGCAACGTCAGTTGAAATAATAATAAATAAAAAAAAAATAATAAATAAATTCGGATCAAGCCAATGGTTTTTACAGTAGAACTTTTCTCTTGAGCAAGTTGATTTTAAAAGACAAATCTTTTTTCATATAATATTATGTAAAAAATAAATCTATAGTTAATGTATAATGTAATATCAGAACTGACATTAGAAGAAATTAGTACTATTTTCAGTACTAATATTAATATTAATACTTCATGAATACACCGAAATACATCATATTATTGCAAATATTTTAGAGGGTTAGGTCAGTGAGTAAAGATAAATAATAATATTTTTTGATCGCTTTCAAAGAAATTTTAGTGCTTACAAGATACTAAAACTTCAGACTCAAACACCACCGTCTAATAGAAAGGCAATAGGAAAACTTAAAAAAATGGATTTGAAATTACCGTTAATTTTAACCACTTTTGTGTCATTTTAATATTGGAATAATTCTAATAAATCCAAATTTGTTATTGTCAAGTTATAGGCATAAAAGGAAAAGTGATATAAGTATATACATCAATAATAATACACACTTTTCCTTTTAAGTCAATTATTGACAGAAAATTTAATATAAATTTAATACATAAATTATTAACAGAAAATTGCTCGTATAATTGCCGTATAATTCTGCATATAATTCTGTATAAAATATGTTTCTGCATATCGAATTGTGAAAATTTTGTTAACTAAAATTACTTATAATTATAATTCTTATTTCAAAAAATTCTTTTAGTAAAAATTCCATAAATAGTAGCACAATTATTTTTCAACTATAATCAGCATTTTAACTAGTATAAATTATATAATGTGTATGTACATCTATATCAACTTTCAATATACATATATCTTTATGTATATTAAGGTAATTTAGGCTTCATAATTTGGGGTTAATTATTTTTTACCTTTCGTCTGTATAGAAATGTCTCTAAAATAATTTCTAAGTACTCCAATTATTATTTTTCTTCATATTTCATCTAATTTTTAAAAAAATATCAATTATACACACAAAAAGAAAATTAATTTTTTTTTTATTCTAATCACAAATTAGTCAAATTTAATTTTAAAATTTTTTTATTCCCTTTCCTTTGATTTTAATAAATTTATGAAATCAAGTGATTTTGTTCACCAAAAGAGTTCAAGAACCTTGTCTTTTAATGTACGTAATACAATTTTAAGCACTATAGAAAACTATGTATTAATTAATATTTTAGATATAATTTTCATACAATTATTAAAGTACACATTTATGTTTATACATATATATATATATATATATATATATATTTTATAAAATATAAAATTTAATTTTAATATAAAAGTTTCAATTTTTAAATAAGTTTTTGAAACGATTTGTGCGAACGTAAATAACACGAAAGACTGAATGATACTCTGGTTATATTTTTTTTTTCTATTTTTTCTATATTTTATTAAATATGTATTCAGATTTTATTAGATGCTATTAACCGGCTTACCATAGTTGAGTAAAATTTTAACTCTTTTTCTCTTAGTTTTTTTTTTCAATTTTTTTTTTTTATAAAATTGTGAAGTTTTTGTGGGTGTACAACAGACCGTAACGGAAATAATGTTGAATAATGGTATCACAAATACAAATAAATCTTTGTTTTCATTTTTTATTTCATAAAAATTATTAAATGTATAAATATATAGAAAAAAAGGTATATATAAATAAACATTTAATCCGCCGAAACTCTAACTTTATATAACGAGTACATACTTGTATTTATATGCCTATAATGTATGCAGCTATATGTGTGTATTTAGATTCTATAAAATTAAAGAGTGAAATATTTTTATTTTCTATTATTGAGATTTTTTAAATTTGATTTGAAATTTTATACATTATGTATATGATATAAATAAATTTTACATATATATTAAAAGCTAAATGAAAATATAACTTGTATATGGTGTCCCGAATTAATTCTTAGTACAATTACAATGATGAAATAAACAGTTATTAAATGAGGAAGAAAATTGTACTTTTATAAAAAAAATTGAAAAAATTATTGATACCAGTGTTAGAAGTTATTAAATAATACTAATATATTTATTTGCAGCGAAACCTGCAATATAATTGCAATATTTTTTGCATAACAAACACCAAATTCTATAAAATTGTGCAGATATATGTTTCGAAAATCATAAAATTTGAATATGCTTGACTATTATTATTTCAAACCGCATTGCATACTTAAAGGAGGTACTATAATATCTCCAAGTTTCAAACATAAATTTCGATCAATCATCCTGGTCTGCCCATCCGTGCATTAGTATTTTATTATAGCCGAAACTGAACTGATTTATATGGAAATAAAAATCCGAGTTTATTTTGTTTATAAGATAGAGAACGTGCGTCTTTATTAAAGACCTAATAATTTGTAGAAAATAAAATTATTTAAAATTATTATTTGTTTCCTAAAATACTTAAAATTGTATATTTATAGGAAAAATTTTGAATTGATCAAATCAAGGTTAATACATATAAGATACTTGATTTTAAAAATGAACTTTTAAATAAATGTATATGCATAATAAATATACTTAGGACTAATAAAATTTTTGGGAAAAGATGAATATTTTGATATAACAAATGTGTTTAAAAATATTGTTCCAGAATTAATTAAGTTAATTTTCACTACAGGTAACTTTTGACAACAACAAATTAAAAGCCAGTAGAATAAATGGCTTTGAATTAACCGAGTAAGATGACGAAAAAGCTGAATAGCAGATGATCTACACTGATTGATGCGACCTACTCAAACGAAGTGATGTAAGAATGTCTTTTATTAATTTTAATATTTTTAAGGAATCCATGAATTAGCATGATTAAGTACCTTTACGGCACAAATGAAAGTTTAATGTAAAACAAAATTACACACGCGATGAAAATTTAATACATAATCATACAAATTAATATAATATAAAAATTTTTGCAGAAAATTATATAAAATTTCTACAAAAATCAAAATTTGCATATTTTATCTTCTTTTTTCTGATTTCTATGAATTAATAGCAACCCTGACGTTCAAAAGTTGTTTTTTTTTTGTGGAGTTTACTTTTACTGAGGATTGCAATTTTTCTTTTATTTTTCCACAATTTCAAAAGACATTAGCCTTTTTTCATAACTTTTTTTTGTTCTTTATTTAACATATCTCATACTTATTTAATTCCGATTTATTTACTTTTTATAGGTTCATATTCAAAACTTAATTTGCAATTTTAATTGTTCTCCATCCAAGTACATATGAGAGTACATACATACTTTAACATATGAGAGTAGATACTTTTGTGACAATCTAATTAAATTAATTGTAACGCTATTTTTTAGTATAATGCAAAAGCACAACCTAATTTTTTAGGTTGTACTTTTGTACAACCTAATAATAAAATTCCACTATGTGATATTCAGACACTGAGAAAAATTTTATTTAAATTAGATGTTTCTTTTAAACAGGATAGACAGAAATTGCACCCGAAATCACAACAACCACATTTTATAGCTAATTTTCACATAAATGAATTTCCTACCCCTTTATTTTCATTTTGAATATAATTTAATAACCCTTTTAGAAATATACTGTTTTCAAATTAGTTATGCTTTTGAGCCGTTTATGAAAATAAATCAATAATACAATAATTTTACATATATATTTCATTATATTATTAATAGCTACACCAAATTCAAAATATTTTTCGAAGAATTGAGAAATATTTATAGCATATTACAAGAAAATTCTTTCTTATTTGGCAATGTTTTTATTTAAATACCGATAAACTTGCGTACATCAAAACATTTGTACTTAAGTACATTTTATTTTAAAAAACAAAAAAGGTCTATTTCCAAAAGAGTTATTTGTATATCTTTATTACAACACTCATATAAGTGTTGAAATATGCTTATGTTATATAAAGATACAAGTTATTTCTATACTTTGAGTAAAAATATTAAGAGTTATATGGTCTTCAAAATGGGTAATGACCACTTAAGATATGGGTTATTTCTAGATACGTAATTTATATTAAATATTATGCATTTAATATAAGGTGAAAATATTTAGATAAACATAGATAAAATTAATAGTATTGTTATTAATTATGTACATAAATATTTTGAATTCTTTCCTTAAATCTGCGTGGAATGCTAATATCCTTAAGATTTTCAATTTCAAAAAGAAATCTTGCATTGCACTTTATTTTCCCATTTTTCTATATTCAAAAAATAATTTTTATTATAAAAACTTAAAGTGAACTTACCATTTTTAACAGTACTGTTAGCCACCGTTTCAAATTGTTGTTTTGTTTCATTTGTTTTTGAATTATTGCTTTTTTTCCTTGCAATTAAATCTTTCTTCCATTGTGGCATATCATTTATACCAGACATAGTACAAAAATTTCTATTAGCAATTATTGATGATGGACTATTAATTATTCCAGCGATTACAGGTGATGTTACTGAATTTGCTATTGTTGTTGTATTTGTTATAGAGGATGTTGTTTTTGTTAAAGATATTGTCGATGTTTCTGATGAATTTGTTATTATCATTATATTTTCAACAGATCCATTAGCTGTTGGTGTTGATTCACCTGACGATGAACAAACATTTACAATTTTCGAATATGGACTGGGTATCTCTTTAACTTCTGAATATCCCTCTATAGGTGATATTGCGATATCATCACTCATTATAATATTATTAGCATTACCACTATTATCGTTATTATTATTACCGCAATCTTCCGCTGTAGAAGAAAGAGTCGTTGTATTACTTTCGATTTTTTTTAAACCAACTGAAGATGTCATTTTCTCTATAGCTACGTTAAAGTCACCGTATGAGTATGTTATAATGAACCTGTATGCAAGGTATGTATAAGTATGTATGTATAAAATGATATTGTATGTAGTTACAATTATTGTATAAAGTAATAAACACAAACTAGAAAATTTTAAAGAAAATAAAAATTTCTACAAAATAAGTTTGCCATATAGACTTTATCGATTGATGTTCAAAAAAGAAAACAGATAAAAGAAAAAAAAATTAATTTTCTTTTTTTAATTGGATTTTAAATTGACGTTTTTTTTCATACATATATGTATGTGTAAATAATACATAATTATGTTGAAAAGTATTTAGTATGCACAAATGCATTTATTTATCCATCATCATCGCCTTGAGTACTTGTACATATTATGTAGGTACCTACTACACAACATTATGAACATTTGTGTATTGGTAGGTGCTTCAAAATCGATGAATCTTTTTATAACATGTATGTACATTATGTCTACCTGACTATGTATATAGGAGTCGTATATAGGTATATCATTTTAATATATGTATATAATTATGTACATATATGCATATACAGAAATAAGTAGATACATATTTATATTCAAAATATGTAATCATGTATCTATTTCAATTTTTTTCTGTTTTGCTGTTGTTATAACGTATATAAGTTTGTCCGATATTGTAGATACATTCATATGTACACAATATATAAAACAAATTCACATAAACTTATGCAAACCTATAACATTTTTTTTGTTGTATAAAATGAATTATTGAAAATGGTCATTTTCGAATTTTTTTTTAGGTATTTTATTCAAATTTTAATGTTATTTTAAAATTTAAATTCTAAGTTATTAATGTTTTTTTTAATTTATTAAGCACTTGTTAAGGTAAACAAAAAGAGTATTAAGTACCTACATACGAGTATTCAAACTTTAAGCAAATGTTGAGTTTTAGTCAAAAGTTTTTTATTTTGATAAAATTATAAAATCAGTTTTGAATTAAAAATTTTAACATACTTCCTGATAACAAATCGTTGAATGATAAGAATGTTTTCGTTGTATTTTTGTTTTTTTTTTTATTTTGTTTATCTGAACACTTTTTTGAGATAAGCTTGTTTTTTTTTGGCATTTAGTTGACGACTCCACAATAGGCGTTGTTTTTTATTGATTTCTGCATGATCCCATTTTTCTGGGATTTTAAGTTAACGAAAAAAAAATCGAAAAGAGATCGAAAATCTACTTCAATATTATTTTATTAATTTTATAATTATTTAACAAAGCAGATAATTTGTAAAAAAAAAAAATTTTAGAAAAAAAAACTATTAGAAAACTTTACAGTTTTCTTTTAATTGCAACATTACCGCCACTACTCTTCTTATACTAAAAAAAGAATTAAATCTGTACTCTTAAAAATTTTTCAATTGCTGCTGCTTAATGGAAAACTGATTTATTTGCAACTTTGCTTTCTCTTTTGCATTTGAATTTTCTTTTCTCTTTTCTACTCTTCTGTAAAAATTTCCTTATTTTCTTTGAATAATTTCATATCTTATAAAAGTTTCTTGTTTCTATTTTCCTTTTAATCTTCTTTTGTTTCTTTATTTATTCTTTTTTATTTCAATATCTTGTAAATCTTGCTGCTTGCCTTTTTTCCTATTTATTCAACTCTCATGTAGTAGACACATTTTTTGTTTTGTTTCCATCATTATTTCGAGTGTGTTGTGTATAAAGATAAATTCAAAAACATAAACAAAAACAAACAGGAGTACTAAAATTTTGACATTTAAAAATTTATTTGAGTAAATTTATTATCTTACAGAATGGTTGAGTGAATTCTTATTGAGTTAAAATGAAACTGAAAATTTTGACATTTACACATTCACAATAATTCCTTTGTAAATAATTATTATTTTCTGTGAAATTTTATGATGATACGAAACTATTTCTAGGATTGCATATATTTAGAATGAACGATTTATGCAGTCTTTGAAATAAAGCAAAAATTAATTTAAAGAGGAGTTAACATCATGCTCGATTTCAAGCGTTAATTGAGTGAGCTAAGAAAATAATTATATTTTTTAATGTCATGGAACTTACCGTTAGTTTTTTGTTCACTAGTGAAAATTGCACTTTTACGGTTTTGGGGGATATAACTGCTAGAGGGGGGATATAGCTAAAAATTTTGCTCTACGGAAATAAGTGTCTAGTGAAGATCTATGTACATATTAAATTTCAGCTCCCTATCTTCAAGAGTGTAGAAGTTGTGTAAACATGTTCACGGACGGACGAACAGAGTGGAACTAATAATCACTTTTTTCAAAATTTTTTTGGAAAAGTGCTATAAAGATATTAAATGGACTACTTTTTATATCGCGTTAAATACAAATTTATTAACTTCTGTTAACAAAAATTTAACTTATTTAGAAGTTCTGTTTTATTTTTTAGCAAAATGGAAATGTTATTAAACGGTAAAATAATTTTTTATAATTACTCATCATAAGGATACTCAATTTTTTAGCGGAAAATTTTCTACTGTCTTTAAAGGATTCTAGGAGAATTTAAAATTGGGGGCTTAGTTACTTTTCAAATTTTGAGCGGAAAGTATTTTTTTTACTGCCAGTCTAAGCTTCACCGCTTTGTAATTTGTAGATTAAAGTTTTTTTTTAAAATCAAAAGAAAAAATATTTTTAAAATATTAAAGTCAAATTTAAAAAGAACTCATTAATTTTTTTCTCTTTGAATAAATTTATTTCATAAATTGAAATTAAATATAAATATTTTTATATTGCAATACCATACGGCGCTTAAAAGTGAATATACATATATTATTTTTTTGATATTTTATGATGCCTTGATTGTGGTATTATTTGCAATACACTTTTTGCTGGTGACGATAATGTTAGCAAGACATTTTTCAATGTGAAGCAAAGATGTTTCATTACATTTTTGAATTTCAGATACAAAATGACTCCAAAACTATGCCCATTTTAACAAATTTTAACTGATATTTTGGCTATTACTCACTAAAATAGATAGTATATTGTCATATACTTCCTCATTAATTAACTGAGCTTCATATATTTATTCATTCTAATACAATATATTTTACTTTCTGCATTCAATGACATCACATCGTGTTGATATATTTCTTTGTTAACCAAATCTTCACTCTATAAATATTATCAACACAATTCACATTAAAAAAAAAAGGCAAATTATTTATTACACACAAATTATGCAAAGCATCTGGCATTATGTAAATTTTACCATATAATTTCTTTTTGCACTTTGAATCAAAATGCTATGAACATAATTACGTCTAATACTGTTTGATAAAATATTTGATATGAAAACTTTTTCAGTCCATATTGTTTACTTCTTGTAAATATATATAAAAATCACCCATTTTTTATATCGTAAGTATGGTATATTTCATTGAACACAAAATAATTTTGCATAGAAAACAAATCCGCTTCCGGTAAAATTGTGTCATCCAATGTAATTTTAGTTTAAAACAAAACAAAAACTAATGTTTTCTTTCCAAATTTAAAAAAAATAATAAATTATGAATTAAAATAACGAATTATGAATTATATCTAACACTATTGAATAAATATTTTAATTATGAAAATAAATAATATTCACATATATATGGAGTAAAAATTCTATCTGTTCTTTTAAATGGGAATAGCAATTTGGAAGGAACTATGCATCTTTTTCCAAAATTTATATTAAATAATATTTTTTTTAACACTTTTTTCTAAATATTTTGTAATTCTGCATTCAAAAACTACACTAATTTAAAAAAAAAAATAAAAATCTGTTTGTTTCCTTTTTTCACTAGCGTCGCTTACTTCTCCCATAAAAAAAATCAACAATTGGCATTTAATGTCAATTTCAATTTGACAATGCTTGGAAAAGAAAGAAATTATCTGAAGTTCTTAGCTTCGCTGTGTTTTTTCCAAGATACGATTTTTTCGGGAGTTTAATGGAAATAGAAACAACAACGCTCCTTCCTTTAGTATTTTTAATTCGTTGAGAATTCACGTCTGTAGCACTATGAGTAGTGAACGCAACGCAACGGAACTCGTAAAGATGTCTAAAGTAATTTCTATTTAGAATTTATTTTTGACATACATATTGTGAATATTTCAATCAGATTTAATTTGGAGAAATTTTGCAATAACTGGCATGTTTAATACAAAAAATATACTTGAGTAAATTTTAAAAATAAAATTATTAATAAGGAACTACATACTTTATCTTCAAATTCATTATTTATTTCGATTTATAAAAGGTAGTTCAATGTAGATACATACAAATAATTTTAAAGTGCGTCTAGTTTAAATATAATGAAAATTAATGAAAAAAATTTGATTAGATATTCCACAACACCTCCATTTGATTTAGAAGGTTGGTTGAATAAAAGGAGTAGCAATAATTCTTGGCGAAAAAGATATTGTGTCTTAAAAAATAATTTGCTATTTTATTTTGATAAAAAAGACGAAAGCGAACCATTAGGATTGATTATTTTAGAAAATTGTACAATAGAATTGGCAGACGAATTTGACGGCTTAAGCTTTCAAATAGTGTTTGATAATCGAAATATATATACTTTCGCTGCTGAAAATCAAGATATTTTAGAGCTTTGGATGAAATCTTTGACTAGTGCTAGTTATGAATATAAAAAAGCGATGGTACTGGAATTACAGCGTCAACTTAATGAAATTAATACGCAAAAAATCCAAAATGGATTACAGAATTGCGTAGTGCAAAAACCTCAACCAACACAGCAGCAACAAAACCCATTTCAGGATTCTCCTAAGCCTCCGCCAAGGCGGCAAAATCCTTTTAATAGACCAGCTCCTCCAGTACCCGAGGGGGCCGCATCTTCAGTTTTATTCAATCAGTCTTATGGAAACAAAGCAACTAATACGAAACAATCACAAAATAATATTGTTAATAAAAGTGTAAATGCAGTCAATGGAAATTCGAGTAATTTTGGTGGCAAATGGGAAATATTTACAGAAGAATCAAGTTTAGATGTTGAAAAAGCATTTCATGCTAATCATTTTGGTGTAAATAATGAACAAAATTATCACATAGATAGAAAACCGCAACCCACAAAAAATATGAATGAAAGTTCAGAGAACGTATTTAAAACAACACATGAACGCTTTCGAAAGATAATTTTACATGACATTGGCCAATACAGAAAAAAAAAAGAAAACCGTACTGAGCCACTTATTATATTGTAATGAGTATAAGTATAACAAGTCAAATTTTTAAAAATATTTTTTTTATTAATTTATACATTTATATTTACATATAATGTGCAAGTTGAAACTTAGATTTTTTTAACTATCATTGTTATTAATATTATTAATGTATATATGAGTACATATATATATAAAATACTAATTTTAATATTATAAGTAAACATTTGTATGTAGAAACAATGTTATTGCAAACATTGTTAAAAAATTTTATTACCTATATTCATAAACATCGATTAGAAAAAAATTCATTTGTTTAATAATTTATATTTAAATTTTAAAATAAATTATTTAATTTTAATAAAATGATTGTTTATTATATTTTTAGCTAATTCTGGAATATAAATTTGGGGAAAATTATGTTGCTATTATTTTGGATTTCATTGCTGAAATATTATTTAATTTTTTTTTATTTATCATAGAGTGGATAATATATTGTAGAGCTTAACTCAATTTCAATTGTATGTACAAACCTATTTACTTGCTTTTGGATTTTCCTTTGTAATTTATTTACCACAAAATAGCTGCGACAAGTACATAAATTCATACACAGAAACAACCAGTTGTTTCGCAATAAAAATAGTTTTTATATATGTAAGTAGTTGGATATGTTTTTCCCAAGAAGTTTTATAAATTGAATGCTTAAATAATGATACGAGAATTTTTGTTTTATTGCAAATTTTCTTATAATTTACTGCATAATAAAACAATTTAGATGATAATTGAAAATTAAATTTTCCTGAAAAAATAGTACATTTGAATAGGTATGAATTATGAAAGTAGAAACATTTATTTACTTAATGGCACTTTATGAAGACTTTGGACATAAACAGAATAAAATAAACTTTGAACATAAACAGATTAAAATAAACAGTAAAATAAAAAAGTTAAGATATCTTTGAAATCTTTATGGAAGAAAATAAGTTAATCATATGAGAAGCATACTAATCATCACGTTTGTTATTATGTATTTAGGTATATGCATACATATGTAAGTATATTGTGGGCATATGAAAATATGAAAGCCTAAGACTAGGAGAAAAGTTTATAGGAACAAAATTTTCCCCCATCTCCCCCATTTTCAAGTTATCGGCTCTCAAAAACACCAAAACTTACAAAAAAATTTTTTGCTAATGAAAAACAAATCTTTGAAATCCATAAAGTAACCCACAAGTTTCAAACGGACTTGCAAAAAATTGAAAGTGACAATTTTTGGTAAAACGAATATAATGCAACATACACATGAATGAACATATCTATAAGAAATAAAAAAGTTTTTGAAAATCCAATTGTTTTGTTAATTTAAACATTTTATTACATATACATAAGTGCTTATAATATTATTTGTAAACCGAAAAAATTAAATGAATTTCTAAAATTTTTAAAAAAGTATTTTACTATATACCCTTATTCCCATTTTACAAAATTAGCGTTTTAATGACACAATAATTAGCAGCTAACTGAATTGTCTACTAATATAGTCTATGTATTAAAAGATTTGCACACACAAGACAAATCACATCAACATTTAAAAATAAATAAATTATCAATTTAAGAATATGATGGATTAATTTGGTAGACTATACATATTTAGATAGTTAAAAACTCAATTCATAAAAAATTAATATTGTTCCCTCAAACATATTAAAATAAAGAACTACATATAATTCTAAAAAAAAAACTTTAACATGGTATAGGTATAACAGTTTTATATTTATTACGTACAAAAGGAATTTTATTGCCATAACCTTAAGCATACCTTAAGCCAACCAAATGATTTTGTAAATTTTAAAATATTTAAAAAAATCAAAGAGAATCAAGTCCTTAAATAAGAATATGGAGAAGATGTTTTCAAACGAGGTCATTATCATTTTTATAATATGATTACATTTTTTTTTATTTATTACAAGATCATTGTTTTAAATTGCATGCTATACTTTTACAGTTTTATATTGCATTTTACATTTTTAAATTTACATTACATTATGTAAAAACTAAAACGTAAAGCGTATTATTTTTTTATGTATTTTCCTTTATAAATATTGAAAATTACATCGTAATTAAATATTTTCTTTTCTGGATAGATTTTGGATAAATATTTTTTTTTTTGAAAATTCCTTTGATTTACATATAAACATCTAAGTGTAAATTTAATGCCGTATACTTATATATATATCTATCAGGACACCAAACTCAGAGAGCAAATCGCAAATAAATTCCAAATTTTAATGGAATTTAAATGGCACGGGGTGTCGGAATTTATTTGTGCAACGGAAATTGATCAATTTTTCTAACTCTAGTGATTATTTTGGTAAATTCCATCTGAAAAAGGCATTTAAAAAATAAATTGCAAATTTTAGCCTAGAGCACCTTTCTTGTCTTCCAAATGGAAGGATACTAAATTACAAAGTAAAATTTTTGAATAAGAAATGGAACTGAAAAAACCAAAGAAATAATTATTATAATCTAGATCATGGATGTCAAGACTTTTGAAACTATGGGCCAATTTCCAATATTCTGTATGACAAAAGGGCCACAAAATAAAACAATTAATTCAATTTTTAAGGTGTATAAACGTTTATTTATTTTTTATTAGAAGTACTGGGAGCTGAGTGACACTGCTTCTGTTGAAGAAGTCTTAAAATATTGGGTTGCATATTTGTAGTAGCCAAGCGTAGAATTGCAAGTAGATTATCATAATAAAACCATAATAATATTTTAACAATTCGTTTTAGAGGGCCGCACCAAAATAAGGAAATGGCCGCATGCGGCCCAAGGGCCGCACTTTTGACATCCATGATCTAGATGAATATAAAGAATGCTCATAAGAAATAATTCAAACTTTGACAAATAAAGTATCATACTTGTGTTCTTTTGCTGGTAAAAACTAATGTTACAATCTTGGTCATTTGCATGAAGTTCGGCACATAATTTTGTTAATTTTTAAATCTTTTAACCATAACTTAAATTTTTTTTTTTTCTAATTAAAATTCTATTCAAATAAATTTTCTGCAAATGTAACACTCACTAAATGTTCATCCTAGGCGGAAAATAAACATTAAAAAAAACGTACCCACGAAAACTGATATGTTCTAAAATATGATTTATTCATATGTATGTACGTATGTAATTAAATATTTTTGTATTTAATTCTTGACATTACTGAGAATTAAAATTTTAAATCAGATAGTTTACATTTAAATACATTTAGAACTTTAACATAACAAACATATCAAGGCCTAGACTTTCCTTTTTTTATGAATGAGTTTGAATCGCGAGTGTATTTCTGGCGAAATTACATTTCTGAATATAAATACTATATAGGTATGCATACGACTACAGATGTATGTATGAAGTACAAATACTTCAATCGCAGTATACTGGCAACCTTCGGAATGACAGATATTTTGTTTATTTAAATTAATTCAGATTTTTTTTGAACAATAACAAAGGAACAAAAACGGACGATCAGATAAACATTAAAATTTAGAAGAAAGTTTTGGAATTTGCGGCAATGGAGAGTGTTTATGATCTTCCAATGAATGACTTGATCAATATCAAGGAATTTTTCAAAAAATATTCAGAAGTATTAGAAAAGTATCCTTTACCTTCAAATGACGAAGAAGTAAAAGTTATGATGAAGTTCCAAGGATCAGAGGAAGAATTCGAAAATCTAAAAAAATCCATTTTTTTTGACGTTGAAAAAGAGTAGGTTTTTCAAAATATGTTCGAAGAATATAAAAAAATAACTTTGTAAAATTCTCCTTAGTTCTGTACCAATAATTGAATGTGACCCAGGGAAATATTATAGAAGTACAATAGTAAATTCATTAATAAATATTCCAGTACCAGCGTTTGAATTAGAAACTTCAAAAGAATTACTGGCATATAGGTCGAAAATTGTTAGCAGACACGGAACTAAAAAAGTATACCCTTTCGGTAGAACTGAATTCAATTACCATTTAATAAAGAACGTACCTGAACCTCTTTCAATAAATGAAGAAAATCTTATACCGTTTTGTGATGTTTCTATAACTGTAAGAATATACCGCCCATTTTGTTATGGTGTTTCCCTAAAAACAAGTGGCCCGTCATTTCAAGAAGAATTTTTAGTGTTTGGGGATCAGTATTTAACGGATTTACGAGATAACATTTCATGCGAATTTAATGAGCGTTGTATTTTTGATATCAGTTCCAATTTAGAACGTGAATTACCAAAACAGCAAGCAAAACCCGGCTTCTTCTTTATTACAAACACATTTTATAATGATACCAGAGATCCAAATAATCCCGACTATTCAGAAAATATAAAAACTTGGCTGGAAGGAGAAACGACTTTTCGAGGCAAAGAGTTTAAAACAGCAAAGATGGAGGAAACCAAATTTTCAGATTTAGATATTCGTTTAGGTTTTCCGCAAGTTTATCAACATAATGGAAACTGTGAACACTTGTTTTGTTTTTCCTCAATACAAATTTTAACACAAACTGATCATTTGAAAAAATCTCAATACCCAGTCTTAACATCAGCTTCAATACCTAAGTATTCAAATTGTAATATGTGCGGCAACTCTCAATTTTCATATATAATTAAAGATAGTAATAAGCAATTAAGTGATCCAGCATTTTTATGCGATCCCTGCCTTCGAAATTATCATTATATTGACGGTAAAAAAATAGGAGAATTCAAAGCATATTTAATAAATGAAATAAAAGTTGAAGATTCAGATGAAGATATAGATACGGATGAGAAAACTAGTTCTAAAAATGATGAAGGAATCAACTCAAATTAGCAAAACTAATACCTATCTTGTAAAAACGCTTAGTTTTGATCTATTATGGTAAATTTAGTTCATTAAGTTTTTGATTATTGTTTAATACATTGAAATAAACGATATTCTAAAATTTTTCTTTTTTTAATAAAACTAAGTTTATCATATTTACAGATTCAATCTTTACAATTAACTTATAAAATAATATACAATGTAACTCAATATAAAAATTAATCAGTTACAAAATAAAATTTATATTAGTTAAATATTTTTTTAAATTTTTAGCTTAGTGAGTGTTTTTTTTTTAATTTTTTTTTAAATTCATAAAAATACTTTCTTATTTTTTAAAAATATAAAAAGCTTTCTTCCTAAACAACAACTTGCAAATTTTTTTTTTTAAGAATACAAAATAAAACATATTTTTACTATTTTTATTACACTTATAAAGTAACTCAAATTAAAACAAAAATCTGCTGTTAATGTAATATATTCAGTCTGGAATATCTATACTAATGATTGGAACTACTGGTTTAAGGTGATCAATTTTTTTATTAAGCCCTTTTCTACTTTTTTTATCATTTCTATCAAAATCATCCATTTGAACATTTGAATCCAATGGAACATTTTGACCAGCTGATTGGGTTTCTGTGTGGTATGATATATCAATATTACCGTATTCTTGTAAAAATGGTAGTGCAGATAATAAAAACTGACTAAAGCTTTTTCTAATACCAAACCACCATTTATTACCACCTTTTGCACTAAAGCTCAGTATAATTAAAGTAAAAACAGCAACTAATAATGGGCTGAATATAATTATGTAACGATATTTTAATTCGCCTTCCAATTTATCTGCAATTATGACCTAGAAAAGGTAATAATATTACATATTTTGATCACAAATTGATATTTGATCCTATGCATATTTTATTTACCTGAAAACATAATAATGGTAGCACGGTGCAAGCGTTACCTATAGCTGAATGTAAAGCCGCCTTTTTTTGTTGCAACGAAATTTCTGGTGTTCTCATCATTATACCACAGAATATAATATTATACAGGACACCTTAAATGTTTTGAAAAAAAAAAAAATAATAAATTATAATAATATATAGGAATTATTTATTTTGATGACAAATTAAAAGACATCAATTCATTGAATTTTATAACATAATGGCAAGTAACCTGAACGACACATATATCATTATATCAACATGGATGTATGTATATGTAGATAAATATGTGGTTTAATTTGAGAACTAAAGAAAGGACGACTGGTACTGAAAAGAAGCTTGACATAACTATAATTGGAGCTCTTTCAATTGATTGTTTTAAATCATTTCGAAGCTCATAGTTGTAAATTACACAAGCACTACGACTGATTGCTACTTAAAATTGATATATAAAAGTAGAAAAAATTAATATGTTTTAGGAGAGACAGGTTGAGATTTCTTTCTCAGATTGATCATTTTCAATAAAACCTGAAATAAAATTTTACAATTGAAGTTCAACTGGGCTCGCAACCAACTATTAGATTGGGACATGATTTTCGTGTGAAATATGAAGGGAAATGAAAAGAACCGTTTTTGCGTGGTGGAAATATTCAATCTGCATTTGAAATATAAAATTCAATAGATTTGAAATATAAAAAAAAGTAAATATTAATTATACTTACTGACTAGACTTAAGCAAACAACTATCCACAGTGGTACGAAAACAACTTCCCAACTCCATGAAACAAATTGGTCTAGTTTTAATGGCAAAGATACAAATTGCAAAGCATTTACTGCTAAAAATAATTCTAATTCAAATGAGCGATCATGTTTAACAGCCCAAACACATGCTCCGACACTAGCAACACTGCCAAATATTAAAGGAATAAATACCAATACCCATAAATGACGTTTTGATGTTAATTGATCACAAGCTAATAGTTCGAACATTAACAGTATTAAATGTAATGACAATGAAATAAGCATTGCTTTGAATTGTGTATATGAATCTCCTTCCAATCTAAAATTATAAAGATATAAGGAAGATTGTTAATTGATGTTTTTTTACATTTAGAATTAAAATAATATTTTGTTACCTATAGTGAGGATATCGACACCATACTATAGCTCCTACAGTTGCTCCTTGTGTATAAGATTACGTTAAATATCAAAATTAACTTTTTGCTAAAATAAAATTACCTAATATTGTTATACCCTTCCATACCCAAAGTGGTGTAAAAACTGCATACCAAGGCCAATCTATTTATGTAAAAGATAACAACAAAATTATATGTGAAATTTTGTATTTTGATACAGATATACATAGATACATATGAACTATTCAGTAAATTATTATTAAATTAGAAAAGCGTACAAACACTTATTCTAGTTTTATATTTTTCATTTTTTAAAATATGTATAGGAACTCTATTTTTACCAATATCTCCGTCGAGTTTTAAGCAGAATAGTGCTATAAATGTAAATAAACTGCAATGTACAATAAATTTACTGAAAAGAGAAGTATAAAATAATTTTAATTAAATTAAATGAAGCTGACTAATATATAAAATATAGTTTTCTTTAAATTATTAAGTTTTTTTTTTTATTTTGAGAAATTTTTTCACAATATTTATGTTGTGTCACTTTAACTAAAAACTTTTGCAACAGAAAACAAATTTAATATTGCAAATCTAGAACATTTAAATATTTACCTTGGATTAAAATCACGAAATAATGATTGTAAATTCATATTGTAAATAAATAAATTAGCTAATTTGACTCATTTTTTTAAAAAAATATTTTTAAGCTACTTTTTTCAACAATCTTTTTCCATTCTATAATAAATTAGTGTTGCCAACCAGAAGAAAAGATGGTTTAAATTACTCTAGGAATGAAACTCATTTTTAAGAAGTGAAATTGATTGAAATTTTGCCTCTAATAGTTTTCAAAGCACTTAATTTACGCGCCAAAGTAAGTATAACTTGTAAGTAAGTACACAATTTATTCTTTTATTCAGCTGGATTTTTTCATATGAAAACATTTATCTTTACACAAACTTTATTGAGAATAAACTATGTAATTCAGTTTGTTAAAAAAGGAAACAGATTTACTCTTTACTTCGTTTACTTGGTAATACTTCATATTTACAAAGATTGAAAATATTGACTTTACTTTAATTTACAGTCTGACATATGAATATCTTTAAGCTCAATTTGCACTACAGATCTTTTGCTTTTCTCGATAAAAATTTATTTGTACATCAGTTAAGCTATTGTAAGCCGCTTTACGAGACAATTTAAAAAATACCTCAATAAATATTAGTTCTTGACAATAAGCCGATTTTTCATTCTGTTCTTGTATAAAACTGATAATGCTAAACACCAAATAAAAAAAAATTACAAAAACAAATACCATATACAAAATAAAAGGAAACAAATGACGCAACGTACACAAAACATGGCGAAATTGCATTTTTCAAAGAAGACATCTTGTAGTCTTTATGCCATGTCTTTGAAATAATTCGATTAAAAAACAATTCAGTTATTTTTTGACAACGTCAAAGTGCATGTTAAATTAAAAAATCTACTTATTTAATGCAGTACAAAACATTTTTACCTCAATTAAAAATCAGATGTGTTCCAATTTTTAGATTCTCCTAGAGAATTTTACTGAAAAGAAAATTTCTCCGCAAAAAACAAAAGTATTTCTATAACGACATCTTCTTGCTGTCATAAAGAGTATTTTTATTTTTTTAGTGAATAAAGTATTTTATGAAAATTAATATAACAAGAAATTTATAATTAAAATTAATAAACTAAAATAATTAAAAGGAAAATATTTGAAAAAGTAAAATATTCAGAATATAACAGCAATGTTATATTCTGAATATTTTACTTTTAATAACAGTTAATGCTAAAAACAGCAGAGTTTATAAAAAATTTATTTTGAATTGGTAAATACTACACATCAGAAAAAAAAATTTTCAAAGGAAAGGTTTGTTAGTGACTTAGTTTTAAAGAAAAAGAGGATTAAAAATATTAATAATAAAATTCAAGATTGATAAGTATTTACTTTTACAAGAAAATCAATCTTTGTCAATTTTTCTATATGCATTCCAAATATAACAGCTTAAAAAACTGCCACTCTGCTATCAAATGGCAAGTCACAACAAAAACAAAAAACGTTAAAATAGCTGATCACAGCCCATTTTCCTCTAAAAATTATGTTTACACCATTTTTTATTTTATTCCTGTAGTCGAAATAGAAACTTTATTTCTATATCTACTATATTTTCTTATAAACGAAAATAGAAATTTCGGGTAAATCTCTTTTTTTGTTCCAAGCCTTGTCAAATTGCAACTAATTTTAAATGCTAAACTTTGTTTTTTTTCCTAGAAAAGCGATGCTAATGAAAAAAGTATGCAACAAAGAAATTTTAATGATTTTTTTTTTTATTAAAGTAAAGAAATTAAAATTAAAAAGTGTTAGAAAAACCTGTTATATAAAAAATATAACACCCCAAGAAACAAGCAAAATTTTTTTGGAAAAAGGAAAAGGTGCATAGTTCCAAATTGCTACTCCCATTTAAACAAATAGTCGTTTCCCATCATACACATGTGAATATTAAAAGAAATATTCATAATTAAAAGAAATATTCATTCAATAGGGTTAAGTATAATTCATAATTCGTAAGTTAATTAAGTTTTTAATTTTGGAAAGAAAACATTTATTTTTGCTTTGTTTTAAACTAATATTACTTGAGATGACATAATTTTACCAGGAACGCAATTTTTTCTACGCAAAATTAGTTTATGTTTAATAAAATGTAGCATACATATACTAACAGTAATAGTAAACAATGTTGGCTGAAGAAGTTTTTATTTCAAATGTTTTATCAAATAGTATTAGACATGCATGTATGGATATCTTCGGAATTACATCTACGACGTATAAGACACATTGACGGTGTGTTATGTTCCGAATTCGTTTGATGTAGTGTCTGCGACGTTGTTGATGATTCCGAACAAACCCTTAACAGCATTTTGATTCAAAGTACAAAAAGAAATTATGTATATGGTAAAATTTATGTAACGCCAGATGTCGCAGAGACAACATTAAACATACTCTACACATAAAACATCGTAAATTTTTTTTTATATTTTAGAAGATTGTACAATGTGTCTAATGTGACGTAGATGCCATTCCGAAGATACTCAAATGATTTGTTCTTTTTTTGAATGTGAATTGTTTTGTTAATCTCTTTATAGACTGAAAATTTGGTCAACAAAGAAATATATGAACAAAATATGATGTCGTTGAATGCAGAAAGTAAAATAAAATAATATTGTGAATTATTTATAAAATATATTGTTTTAGAATGGATAAATATATGAAGCTCAGTTAATTAGTGAGGAAGTATATGACTATTTTAGTGAGTAATAACCAAAATATCAACTAAAATTTGTTAAAATGGGCATAGTTTTGGAATCATTTTGTATCTGAAATTCAAAAATGTAATAAAACATCTTTGCCTCACATTGGAAAATGTCTTGCTAACATTATCGTCATCAACAAAAAGTGTATTGCAAATAACACCACACTTAAGGCATCAAAAATATCAAAAAAATAATATATATTCACTTTTAAGCGCCGTATGGTATATTGCAATATAAAAATATGAATATTTAATTTCAATTTATGAAATAAATTTATTCAGAGAAAAAATTAATGAGTTCTTTTCAAATTTGACTTTAATATTTTAAAAATATTTTTTATTTTTATTAAAAAAAAAAATAGCCTACAAATAGCATATATTTACAGCCTGATCGTGTATCTCGCTTTTTTTACTCACTTTTCATTCACTTCCCAATCGGAATTCTCAGTATTTTCTAATGGATATTTCACTTTTTCAATAAAATTGCTCATTTTTTCAATTTGTGTTTTTGCGTTTTTTCTCAAATCATCGACTGAACGTCTCACTTTCAAAAACAAAGTGAAAAAGTTTTGTATAGGATAAGCAATACCAAATAATTCTTCTCACTCGAAAATTACATTATACAAGCATATGATAGTTACTCACTTTCTCAGTAAAATAGAAGCCAAATAATGAAATAAAATAAACATGATCCTATTATGATTTTCACAATGCTTGGAACAAAGAGACAACTAGGAAGAATTTGCCTACAATGTTTTTTTGAAGTTGCTCCTTCCTTTAGAATTTCTAATTCTTTGGTTAAAATTAAGACGTCTTGTCAAAAAAATTAAACATGTATATTATTTTCTGGTGAAAAAGAACACGCTCATAAGAAAAAAGCTTTTGCTTTTTGCAAGTTTACTGAGTTAAAATTTAATATGAGCTCGTGAAGGCGCCTATATTTTGTTTTGTATTATTTTATTATCAATTTTTCTTGCCAATTTCTATATACATATGTATGTATATGCCATTTGGGCTTTTTTAGATTAGAATTTTGTATATTTTTAAAACTTATCTTCTTATATTTCAGCACTAACTTATTGTACAACTTAGTCTTAAGTTAATTGTTTTATAGTAGTTTTTATTATGATTCTTCCAATCCCTGCTTTTGTATTATTTGTTTTAAAGAATGTTTTCCAATTATACCTTTGCTTTTAATTAATTTCACTAAACGAGCAAAATTTTTAGAATTTTTTTGTGCACTAAATGTTATAACATTCTTAATATAAGAGTTTTGTTCGTATGTTAAATCGTAATTTGTTATCGGTTTAGTGTTATGTCCATTGCTTGTATTTTCTGCATTATTCTGCGGAGGTTTTTTATTCGCCTGATGCGATTGATTTTGTGAACTTTGCATTCCGCATTTTTTATCAAATTGCTTCTGCTTTTCAGTTTTGAATTTTTGTTTTTCCATCATCTCATTTTTTAATTGTCGCCATGAGGCAGAGTCTCTTATTTTTTTATTTCTTTCTCTAAATGCCTTAGAAATATTGATTTTTTCCCCTTTCTTCAATATCTTTGAATTATTCGCCATTTCTTCAATTTAGTCAACTTTTTATCATATATTTAGATTTATTACCATAAGGCAAACAAATTAAACGTATCAATGTCAAATATAACTTGTCAAAACGTTTTCCGAAAACTATAAATGATGTCATTGTAAAAAATTTCTATTTCGAAAAAAGGGATGGATTTCCGTAAAATTTGAGTATGACAATTTAGTGTTTTGACAATCCCTATAGTTGTATGTATTTCAAATTTTATATAAGGTATATGCTCCATCAATTTTTGGTTTTTAAGCTAACAATACTTGAGATTAAACCAATCTAAGAGGAAACAAGATAAAAAATTGTAAGGTAACTTAGTCAAATTTTAATAATAAGCAATCTCGTAAAGCTGGAAAGTTTTTAACCGAATATGATCTTTTGCGGAGGGGTGTTCTTGGAGAATTAGGAATGGACAATATTTTTGTTTATACTGTATCAGTTAACACCATGGTTAGCAAATAATTTTAATCAAACTTTTGTATAAACTACTAATAATACTTAAAGAACATATGTTATTTCATATTTTTCCCTAAACATTAAACCTTACTTATAAAATAAGAAAACCTAAAAATAGTAGAAAATAATTTAAAAGTATTTACGTATTTTACTAGATGAAATTAAAAATTAAGATGATTAAGCTTGATGATGAAAATTGTAATTGTGTAAAGAAATTGGTGAAAGAACAAAACGCTGGCCCAAGTTTTACAACAATGAAAATGGCATCACAGACCAATACATTTCAGTTGGGTATCGAAAACTTCAAGTCAGTACAAAATGTCACTGAAGAACTGAAGGTTTTGGGGTATATATAAACTTATTCAAAATTGACCCCCGATGTTTAACTTTTCTTCATTTTGCTAAATTATCAAAATGAAAAAGTTTGCAATCGATTTTTCTTAAACAAGGAGTTTCATAAAAATAGGTCTGTCTGGTAAATGAAGTTTTTAAAAACTTTATAAAACTTTATAAAGTTTTAGTATACAAAGTGTGCCATATAATATTTTTTGAACAAAAATGAGAGAAAGTATGAGGTCAACGTTATCTCAATGTTTAACGTTTTTTTTTCAAGTTTTGTAAAACGAAATCTAGTATTTTAAAAACCTTTAGTTGTCAAAACGTATGTTCTTCTTTATGTATGTAATGTTTATATTTGATAAATACTTTGAAATTTTACATTTATTAACTATTTTTTTAAACATTGGGAAGACGTTGACTTCATTATTTTCTCTAATTTTTTTCAAAAAGCATTATACCAGCCGCTTTGCATATTAAAGCTTTATAAAGTATTTTCAAGTTTTATAAAGTTTTTAAAAACTTTCTTATACCTATTTTGTTTATCTACATTGCACAACATTTTTCCTACTTTACTTACTCATAAACCTTTTTTTTATTTTTTAGTTTAAGTCTTACTCATAAGAAATTTTTTTCGACATTTTAATTCTAATTGAAGTAGGTTTGTAATTTCTTTTAAAAACGCACCCTTAAATATTCGAAAACAAATTTCTCGTTCCTCCCTGGCGCTATTTTTACTCTTTTCTTTGACAAGTATGTCAGTTCCATTAAAAAAATTGTTTCTCTCGCATCTTAATTTGTTATTGTTTTGCGTCCTTTTTCAAACAAAATTATTACTTAAATTTGGAAATATTTTAAACAATTTTTGTCAGAAAAAAAGTAATTGTTTGTGCATATAATTTAGACGCATAAATATTATGTCAAATCGGTATTATCGAAGTGAGAACTGCGCTGAAACTATTAACAAGGAGTTTTCAATGGCTGGAACATTTTTGCCTAAAAACAATTCAAAAATATTTTCGTATGAAAAAGAATATCTTAATTTTGAAAATGAGCTATTAGACTTTCCTTTACGTGATGTAGGCGAAAAATGCGGTGAAATATATATTCTAAATTGCAGCGGAGACGTTGTATACAGTTGTCATTTTTGTGATGGCTATTTCACGAATATAGGAAAGTTAATTTATCATTGTTATGAAGAACATGGCTTCAAAGATAATCGACCAAAAGAAACTTTAACATCGGTTTTAAATAAAAATAGAATAGACATAGGTTTGGAATCTACACAAAAAGAGTCCCAAAACGAAGAAAAGAATAATGTCAGTGACACATCGAATCAGAATGTCAAAGGAAATTTTGCAGATAATGCAACCGGAATGAGTGAAGCTCCTACACATATTAACTTACAAACATCCAATCTACCAAAATTAATACATACCCCTGGAGGACAAAAATATTTATTAGTATCAGGCCCCGTTATGAATAATTTTTCACCTCAACCGCACCACATGCACTTTCAACCTACACAGCAAACATTTGGTTTAGTGAATCAGCAATTTGCAAATAACTTCGCTCAAATTCCACAAAATCAAGGTTATATTTACAATTCTGGTCCTATTCATCAGAATGTGCAAAGCACATTTGTAAATACCCCATCACACAGTGTTTCTAATAATATGGTTGGAGGGTCATCTTCAGAACGGGTTCCAGAAGAAAATGTTCAAATGACAAGTTTTGATAATTTGATTGAATTTGATAGCGGTTCAAATTCTAATCAAAGTCCGTCAAATGTTCTTCACAAAGATGTAGGTAATACAATAGAAGAAATTGTTGCAAATTATCCGGATGAAGATAACATTTTGCCACCTACAACAGCGGAACAGTTTGTTATAACAACTGAAGAAACATCTAATCAGTGCGCGCAAACATATCAAGATCAAGAAAATGGGAACCCTGATATAATAAGTGGAAATAAGATTGAAGCTCTTATTGAAGAACTTGTAAATTCAAACAGTAATAGCCAACAAAACTATATATCAGAAAATGAAAATAATCAAACTAATATAGTTCTCTCCGGGAATCATGGACAAACTCTCTATGTACAGAATCAACCTTTTTTCCCAAATAATATTCAAAATGATCCTGGTGATAATATTAGGAATCATTCTATAATATCACATCAAGATCAATCCACATTATTGAATAATGAAGGAATACATCAAAACTATATTTTTGATGGTCAACATTTACAACCAGCAAATTTTGTTGGTACGTCAAATAACCAAAATAGTGCCCAAAATCTATTTATAAAATTTAGCGAGAATGATGGTAATATATACTTATTAAATGGATTTAACAATAACATGAATATAAATGGTATCATAGATTCAAATAATCAAATACAAATTTCTACGCAAAATGAAATTATCAATGAAACGACCACAACTGAAGAGGTAAATATGGGGGAGGAAGAAATTGTTGAAAGTAGAAAGACTATGTCAAGAAATAATAATTCTTCCTGTGAACAGCGAATTGACAATTATTTAAATGAGTCATCAAAAGGACAGAGTCTTATGGAAAATAGTCCAGAAAATTTAGCAAATAAACAACAATTAAGTACAATAAATGAACAAACAATAACAACAGAGAATATTGATCTTAGTAATATTCAAATACAACATGTTTCAGCAGAAGAAATCGTTGCTGGTACATCGTCGCATATACATGAACAAGAAGTAGGAATAATGCAATCTGACATGGAATTAAATATGCAAACTGACGAACAATCACAAAGTATAATTTTACAATCATCTAATGAGGGTAATGCAATGGATATTACGGAATCAGGTTTGTTCTTTTTATTGAATTGAGTAATGTTAAACTTTATCAATAATAAAATATTTTACAGAATCTGATATTTTCAATTCTCGACAAAATATTGAAGAAACTGTTGATAAAACGCCAAAGGACATGTTTTCAATGAAAAAAACGAATGAACCAAAGTTTTTAGATAATTTTCAAAAATTTTTAGAAAACAAAAGAGACGAGGATTATACTCCTGACATCAGAATAAGTGAAACTGGAGTCAATGAAGATGACGAAGAAGACGACGCGATTGGCGAAAGACACAGTGTAGGACCGGCTTCAGAAAAAAGTTCAGATGCATTTAAAAATTTTGCGTGCAAATTTTGTGGTAGAGTGTTTAAGGAAGAATTTCATTTGAAATTGCATAACGATAGGGCACCTCCTACAAAATGTGAACAATGTAACTTATTATTTTGCAGTTCGAAATTATATGCTAAACATGCGAAATCACATGCAAATGGTAATATAAATTCAGTTAAATAATAGTGTTTTATGTTGAACAAATTATCTTCTATTTATAGATGAAACCCCCGTTATAAAGTGTGACTTGTGTTCGTTAACTTTTCGAAGTCAACATTTTCTTGAAATGCATATGAAAAATCATAATGGTAAATATAAATCTTAGAAAGAAATTAATTAAAAAAAGTTAAATATATAGTTAAATTAATACGAAGTGTACTGATTGAAAATGAAAGTAAAGGATATAAAGAAATTAGAATAATATTACATTATTTGGAAAAAATTTTAATTTATTTTTTTTTATGAATAAAGTAATCAAAAACTAGTTTATTTAATTGCATATTACATTATAAATTTTAATTAATCATTTAAGTTTTTTAAACTTGTAAGATTTACTTTTAATTATTATTACTTTTGTTAATTGTTTTGTATATTTGATTGTGAAAAAAGCAAAATAAATAACAAAGTGATATTGAACTTTCTAATACATTAGTAATAATTTCCCAAGTTATTGAAGAGTATTATATATAAAAATTATTATTAAATTTTTGTAAGTTGAAAAGAAATTAAAAAAGAATTTATTCAAAAAAATAAATTTTCAGTGTTGTCTTTTATCTAATAGTATTTTTTAAAACTGTTTTTATGAATAATGAAATATTCCATTATTTCAGGTTTTTGATTATTTTATTTAAAATGGGTTGAGTACAATGAATTTTTAATGATTTACAAGGGCTAACAGTTTACACCTTTCACTTAAAAAAAACATATTAGTTTCTTTGTTTTTGAGTAATCTTTAAATCTTGAGTCTAATTTTACATACCAATAATATATTTTACATTTAATTATTTTTATTATTCGCCAGTCAATTTCATGAATCACTCAATCTAATTTTACATCTTATATTTGATTCACTATTTTGTGTCTTATGTTTCTATTTTTTTTTTTTTAGATGTTCGACCATTTAAATGCGATATTTGTAAATCAACATTTCGCTTTCAACGTTTTCTAGACTTACATAAAAATCGACATTTAGGTAAAAAACCGTATGCTTGTAATTTTTGTGAGAAATGTTTTTTTACTGGTACTGAACGTGGTCAACACGAAACGTATCACTTAATGAAAGGTTGCACATTTAAATGTAAAAATTGCGATGAAGAATTTCCACAGCGTAGTTTTTTAGTAGATCACATGAAAACACACAGTAATATAAGGGTATCTTCTCCGTTTAGTTCTAATAATACATCTACTACATTATCACAGTTAATAAAGAAGAATAATAGAAATGAATGTAAAATATGTAAAATTGACTTTAAAACAAATGAATTATTTAAAGAACATCAAAATTTACACGCAAAAGATAATGCGAATAATTCTAGTAATAACCCTTTACTATTGGATGAAGATAACAAAATTGTAATACAAAGCTATAGTCATAATAATGATGTAATTACTATTAATATTAATTCAAATTTAATACATAACAATGATAATTTAAATTTAGAACAAATAAATTCTACGAATTTTAACAGCACCAGTAATAATAGTAACATGAACAATAACAGAAATAATTTTGAAAATATTAGTAATAGTTATAATATAAATCATAGCAATGTTACAAAAGATAATTTGTGTAATGTTAATGATGGTAATAATATGTATGATACGAATAACGTATTAGTTAATCAAAATAATGTTGAAACAAATGATTCAATGCAATATTTTAGTTGCCAATATTGTGAGAACAAATTTTTAAATTTGAATATTTTGAATGAACATTTAATATACTGTAATTCAAACACAAAAAATAATTTAATTAATAAAAATAATAAGTGCAGGAAATGTAATGTAATATTGGTGAACTCCAATGAGTTAACAAACCATTTAAATAGGCATTGTTGTATTGAAGAAGAAATTGATGTTGTTTTATAAGGTTAGATAGTTATAAAAGAGAATAAAAAAAATGTTTCTATAATTGAAATTGCAGATTTTTTTTTATTTTAAACAAATAAATTAGAATATAATATGTAATTGCATCATTTGTGCTAAATAATTTTTAATTTAGTTTTAGTTTGTTAATTTTTACTTTATTAAGTCATTATGATTTTCTTAAATTAAAAAAAATAAAAAATTGAATACAAAATATTGTAAAAAAGATTTCGTATTCACAAAAATTAAGAAATCTTGATTAAATTATGATGCATATTTCATTAAAAAAATTAAATATATTTACTGAAATTAATATATATCTAAAAATATTTTTGGTAAGTTTTTTTGTTTAGTACAGTGAATAAGTAAGAAAATATATTTTTTGAATTTGTCATGAATATTTGTATTTTTCAATAATATTCTAAACTCAATTTTTATTTAACAGTTCCACATAATAATTTTATAAACAAAAGAGAAAACCACTTCTATTTTTTTTATTTTTAAGTTATGTTATAAAAACACTTGAATTCATTTAAAATAACATATTTGTCAATAAAATAAAATGAAGAATGCAATGTATAAAAGCAGTAAATTCTGACAAAAAAAAGATAAAAATGTTAAATGTTATGTACATCTAATAAAATTTATAAAAACAATTAATTTTAATGTACTATACAGTGCTTTAGAAAAATAATTTGATATACGTTAAAAAACTTTAACAAAAAAACGCGGCTAATAATATTATTTATCATATAAAGTAATGTATTTTCTAAAATTATTTTTCTAACAAATTAATTTTAATTGAAAACCAATCTGAACTGATAAAATAATTTAGTTTTAATTCCGTTACGTAAAATTTTTATTAAGTTTTTTTTTTTATATTACAAATAAGCATATTTCCATACAAATTATTAAAGCAAAATGTATTAATTTTTTTTTTATTATTATTAAAATATTTAAAAGTAATAATATAAATATGTATGTATGTATCACTTTTAATTTTAATTTTATCAATAAAACTCTAATATTAACATCAATATATTATTTATGTCTCCAAAAATTCTTTTGAATGTTTTTGATATTTATAATGCTGTTGATGTACATATATAAATATTATAATTATATTAAATATTATTTAAAAACATAGAATGTTGTTTCAAATCGTATAATTTTTATACATTAATATAAATAATATTATAATATTTGACCAATCAGCCTTATTTCATCAAAACAGTCATATGTATTTGCGTCACGTTTGGAATAAGACCAAATAATTAGTTATATTTACCAAATTTAGACTTACACATTAGATTATAATTTACATAATATTAATGTATTAATAAAGAGAAAAAAATATGTTTTTTTTTGCTAAAATACAATAAGATACTCTCAAGAACCAATTAATTTATTTAAACAATTTCAAAATGTTTAAAAAGAATTCTGAAAAAGGAATTGATAATTCTCCGAATATGTTTTTTAAGAAAAAAAAAAATTGTTAAAAATTAGAAAAAATTTCAAAAATTACACTTAATTTGTACTTTATTTGTGCAAAGCTGAGTGTTTTTTTTTTAAATTTTTTTTTGAAAATAAAAAAACTATTAACATTTTGTTTTGATGGTAATTTAAACACAATTATGATTGTATATTCAGTAAATAAATTAATTCTATTCATAAACTAGATTTATCATAAATTAAAAATTTTACCAATAAGTTATTGAAAAAAAAAAAAAATAAATGAACATATTATTATCACAAAAACATCTTTTTAAATTAAAAGTTTCATATTAGGTTTTCATTCAAGTCAAATCTATAAAATATTAATAAAATGGTGAAATTAGGAAATTTAAAATATTTACGTATATTTAATAAATTTTATTCAAATACTTTATCATTATTAGTATTTTATATTTTTGATTGCATTATTCAAAAAAAAAAAAAATTATCATTAGCAACCGTTCAATAAATTGAGTAAAAAGAAAATAGAAAGGAAAGTAAAATTAAACCTTTGTAGTAAAAGTTTTGAGGAAATAAAACTATTTTTTTGCAATATGTATATGAAGAAACTTTTCAACAAAGAATTATTGAGGTTCTTAGATTTGAAATAAAAAAAAGGAAAACAAAAAAACAAATGGAAAAATATTTTATATTTTAGCATATAATTAATATAATTACACCTACATAATTAAGTTTTAAGTATTTGACTAAGTGTATACTATAAGAAATCAAATGGACCCATCATTTTCAAATATTAATTATTAATTACACGATAAATTTTAATTATTTGTACGTTTAACCTGTAATGAATTGTATGAAAACATAAATTAGTTTTAGAGATAATTTCTTTTTTTTTTTTCAGTTAATGGAGGAAATTTATTTCCTTATTATTATTTAGATACCTCTTAAACAAGAAAATAAATGTCGAATTTCATTTTTAAAAAAATGTTAAAAAAAATATTATGTGAGTTTATTTATTGTAATCGTTTATCATATCAAATGTTATAGATTCCAATTAAACCCAAATGAAATTCACAAATTACCTACATTTTTTATTTTACTTTCAGTTTACAAGTATTTTGTAATTTTTTTGCTATTTGTTTTATTTTTTTTTGTACATACTAGTAATTTATTTGAAATGGTAAAAAAATTTGATGTTTTTTTTGTTTAAAGGTTTATATTACATGTTAAAATGAAAAACTAATTTTAAGTATAATTGAAAATATATTACAAAAAAAATTTTAATACAAAAGTTTTTTCATTAAAAAATAACAACTAACTGCCTGGGGAAGATTGAGTTATTTCTACATTAAACATTACATTTTAATGTAATTTCATATATTGAATATTGTTCGAAACATTATTACTAAAATAATTGAGAGGTTTTGACTAAAACTATTGTTCACTGTGGAAGTTTTAATGTCTACATTTCATTATCTATGGCAATTTACCAAAATCCTGATTAAGCTTTATGTGATTTATTTATCAATAAAATTGAAATTGCTGATTGAGTCAAATTGCTGTTAAATTTGTATTTTGGTGGAAGTCCAATGTCTTATAGATATATAAAAAAGTGCCATAGTTTTTTCGATGGTACAACGAATAAAATGGGAAAGAAGTAGTTTGAGTAAACAAAATTTATTTTATTATTTACATACACTCGAACAAATATTGACTTTTAATAAAGATAAAAAATAATAAATTCCATTTTTTTTCATTGATTTTGAATTTTAATTTCATTGATTTTTCATTGATTTTGAATTCAATCTATCATTTTTTGTAAATTTTTTTTTTCAAATAATTTGTCGTGCAATTTAATTTAAGATTTTTTAAATAAATTTGAATTTACTTTTTTTCAAAATTTTTAATTTAATATTCTTCATTTTCATCTTCTGCAAAACTTGAATCCATACCAACTTCTTCGTAATCCTTTTCTAAAGCAGCCATATCTTCTCTAGCTTCTGAAAATTCACCTTCTTCCATACCTTCACCCACAAACCAATGGACAAATGCACGCTTACAATACATTAAATCAAATTTGTGATCTAAACGAGCCCATGATTCAGCTACCGCTGTTGTATTCGCTACCATACATAATGATCGTTGAACTTTCGCTAAATCTCCGCCAGGTACAACAGTTGATGGTTGAAAATTTATTCCGATCTTATAACCAGTAGGACTCCAGTCAACAAATTGAATTGTTTTCTTTGTTTTTATTGTTGCAATAGCGCTGTTTATATCTTTTGGAACTATATCACCTCTATATAACATGCAGCAAGATATGTATTTACCATTACGAGGATCACACTTAATAAGCTGGTTTGCAGGTTCAAAGCATGCATTAGTTATTTCAGCACATGTTAATTGTTCATGTAAAGCACGTTCAGCAGAAATTATAGGTGCATAAGTGACTAATGGAAAATGTATTCTAGGATATGGTACCACATTTGTTTGAAAATCATTCAAATCACAATTTAGAGAACCATCAAAACGTAGAGATGCGGTTATTGATGACACAATTTGTGCTAATAAACGATTCAAATTGGTATACGTAGGTCTTTCGATATCTAAATTACGGCGGCAAATATCATAAATTGCTTCATTATCTACCATAAATGTACAATCAGAATGTTCCATATTGATATGAGTATTTAAAACAGCATTATATGGTTCAACAACAGCAGAAGCAATACATGGTGCTGGATATATACCAAATTCTAGTTTCGTTTTTTTCCCATAATCAATTGATAAACGTTCCATTAATAATCCAGCAAAACCAGATCCTGTACCGCCGCCAGTTGAATGAAATATAAAAAATCCTTGTAAGCCAGGACATTGATCTGCTAATTTTCGTATTCTGTCCAAAACTAAATCAATTATCTCTTTACCAATTGTGTAGTGTCCGCGTGCATAATTATTAGCCGCATCTTCTTTACCTGTTATAAGCTGTTCTGGATGAAATAATTGCCGATATGTTCCAGTTCGGACTTCATCGATAACTGTTGGTTCTAAATCAACAAAAATTGCCCGGGGCACATGTTTTCCACATCCATTTTCATTGAAAAATGTATTAAAAGATGATTCATCACGTCCACCACAATTTTTATCGGGTGGCATATTACCATCCGGTTGAATTCCATGTTCTAAGCAATATAATTCCCAACAAGCATTACCAAATTGTACACCACATTGTCCGACATGTATGGAAATTATTTCACGCATCTTGATTCAATTCGTTCAAAATAAATTTATGAAGAAAACCCTAAAAGTTTTTTTTTAGAAAAAATATGTACATATGTATGTATGTATGTACTTATATATTTTAAAAAATAAAATTAAATCCGCCTAAAATTTTCTAGATGTGAATTTGATCACAAAAATTTTTATTATAAATTTTTGATTTGATTTAATTAATAAAGAAATTTTTTTAAATTATTAGCTTACTACAAATCAAAATTATATTGATTATTGTAATAAATTCAGATAAATTGAGCTTTAATAAAAGCTTAGATATTTCGTTATTTTTGAAAATAGCAGAAATTCATTCAAATTTTAAGTTTTATTATGTTAAAATTGCCTACATTCAATTTTTATATGAATGAAGTTTACTATAGACAATTTCTGTTGAGTTTTATTCGAAAGTTTGGACTTTTGGAGAATTTAAAATGCGAAATTCGGAAAAGCTTTATTTATGGTGTATTTTTTGTTTTGTTTACATTTACAGTTATTGCAATCAATTTGTTTACTAATTATTGTTTATTCTTGTTCTGGCAAATTTTTTTTTTTTTTGGCTTCATTCTGCTATTAAGATGGTCTAAATTACGGTTCTTATTTATGTTTGTAAGAATACGAGTAGGCATCGTACTTATTTTACAATCAGCTTTTCATCTTCTTTTAATTTTAAATGAGTAATTTTATATTATATTGTACATACAATATGTGTACATATGTATGTACATACTTACGTATGAATTTGAATGAATTCGAGTGAACTTTTTTTTCTTCTCTTTTTTCTCTATATCACATGTTTTTCTATCGGTTTTTATTATTATGTTTTTTTTTTATCATTATTTTGGTAGATTTTTAAAGGGTAGACACTAGAATCGAATAGGTACATATATGATGAAAAATAATAATAATATGTGTTAGTCAATTTTTTGGTTTATAACGGTAAACAACTAAATAGCGGAAAATCGAAGAGCAAAATTAGCCGCGAAAACTAACGCATTTTACGTGAAATTTAAAAATAAAATTTTATGAGAAGTGAAATAAAAAAAAGTATTACTTATGTTAAAAAAATATAAAAAAAATTAAAAAGAAAATTAATTTTTATTCAAATTTTTTTGCGAGGGTTTTTGGAAAAAGTTGAATCTAAAAGTGTCCAAATTAATATTTAAAGTTGAAGAAATTAAACCATTGTTATAATTACAAATTCAGATATTTTACATGAATTAAAAAAATTGTGATTAAAAATAAAAAAAAAAGTAATCGAATTTGATTTTCAAATATTTTATGAATTTTCTATCAAAATATTTATTGTGTAAAAGTATAAATTTTTGAAAAATATTAAAAAATTGCTTGTAATATTAATTTTTTATACAAATTATAAATAAACTGCAAACATAATAGAATTGGTAAATATTCTTGTTTGGATTAAATCTTTGTTCTGATAGTAATATTAACGGTTTATTCAGCAAATTAAACTAAAATATTGATTAAATTTGTATAACTACTGTTAGTAAATAAAGGTGCGTTAAATTCAATTTACTTTTAAACTCTTTTCTTAAATTTATTTATAATTATTTATAAAATTTATTATATGTATATATATTAACAAAGTGTTATAAGCATCTGCATTGTTCATATTATTTTATAAGAAGATTTTGGTAAAGTTTACTTGCTTAATTGAAAAAAAAGTATGGTGAGTGAATAATTTTAATTTAAATCGAGAAAGAAAAAAATTAGTTACTTAAAATTATTTAGTAATAATTTTGGACGCTGAAAATTATTTTGGAATACATAGTTCGATAAAGCCAACAAGGGCTATTCATTTCTTTTGCCTCTTTACCGACTGTATTGTGTATACAACAAGTAGGTTAATGTGATGGCAACAAATTTTGCATATCGAGTTTTCGGTTGAAATGCACTTCTCCATAGTAGGGAAGTCTAAGTAAACTATTTTTAGCAACCTGTCGGTTTGTGTGTGCACGCGTGTATCTCAAGTTCGGCTGAATCGATTTTGATGAAATGTTATATATAAGTTTATTTTGACCATGGCACGGATTGATCAACTTTTGGGATATATCAGGGCTCGGGAACTGCGCTTTTTAGCGGGCCTGGTTTACATTTTTGACCATTTTAAAGAAAATATTCAACCGATTTGCTTGAAATTTCATATATAAGCTTCACGCGACCGCTAAACTATTTTGGAAGAAATCAGGCGTCAGCAGCTAGACGTTTACTATTGGCCAAATATATATTTTTGCGTATATAAAGAAAAATAATCAACCGATTTCATTGAAATTTATTATTTAAACTCTTCGTACTAAAACAATTAACATATAAATTTTTTGGAAAGATCAGGGCCCGAAAACTGATGTGCGGCCTGATTTTACATTTTTCACCATATCTACGGAGGGAATTGATGGAATATCTTGAAATTTGATATTTGAGTTCCGGTTATTACCAAAACTAACTGACGAGCATTTCATTGAATTCGGGTAGCACAAAGCAAAATTCTACTATTTACATTTTTTTAGGTATGTTAACTATATAAGCTTACTAATGTCCTAAAAATTGGAAAGAAGTATTTAACAGACATTTTTATAATATTCTGTAACACATTCACTTAACTAGACAATAAACATGGCGGTCGGTTATGTGCTAACCACATCAGATTTTTTTGATAATGTTTTCCATGAACAGCAACCTAAGGTGCTCATATTTTTAAAACTTATAAAAGATGGCGTTTGCAAAAATAAGTTTAATTCCAGAATGAGTTGTCCCACCGTTTCTATTTGTGTTAAAAAAGTAAATTTTATTTAAATATAGACATTGCCAAGATTTTGATATTTAGAATTGTTTAACAAATTTTTTTGTGTATTTACAAAATATGTTTACAAAAAGATAATTTACAAAATTATTGAAGTTATAAATTTACAAAATTGTACTGTTGAAGAACGCTGACGATTAATTCATTTTATGAAGTAATTTCACCTCATGTTTAACGCTGATTTCACTGCGACTTTTCAAATTATTGCCTACAGAATAGTTCATTGATTTCTTAATACCAATTTTAATTTCGAATTAAAATACATACATTTGATTAGTTTATACTTATTTGTTTGCAGGTGAACTATTATTAAATATTATATACAATATATTAAAAATTTTACTATATACAGAAAGGCACAAGAAAACTTGGAAATTAAGAATTGTTCAAATGTAAAGTGAATTGAACAAAGTAGAAACAAATTCCGTTACAATTTATTTTAACACTTATTTATGATTAATAATTATACTACATGATAACAACTACAACTTTATATGATATTCTCATAGATGTTCTACTTTAATTAAGTTATTTCGAATTATATCTGAAAATAATTTACTAGCAGAAATTTAAAATTTAATTCGATCTCAAGTAAGTAGGGTAGATTTTATTAAGAATGTATTATTATTTTCTATTTTTAAATCTAATAAAATGTACATACGCACTCATTGCGGTAATTCGAATACTAAGTATCATAATATTATTCTGGAAAGGATTTTAAATTATAGGACACATCTGTATGGTTGACCATAAAAGTAAATTAATTTTTTTTTATTTTGTGTCTTCTCTATTACACTTACTTATATAATATTTTATTTTTACTCTATATACATAGTTAATGTTCAATATAATTTTATTACAGACTGAAACTAAATATTATAAGAAAATAAACTAGCTATTATATCATTTCCTTTCTTTGAATTTAATCCTCTGGATGAAGAGTGTAAGGGATTATCTTAAAGTGAAATTGTAAGCTCTTATAGATTCTTTGTATTCATATACATAAGTGAATTGTTCAGCATGAATATTTTGTTTTGGAAATTGATACTAAAGTGCGCTTTTATTTAAATTAGTGAATTTATTTAATAATATGTTAGATACTTCCTAAAATAATTTACTTACAATTATATAATGTTCAATATATACTCGAGACAGGTTGCATACATTAAAATCTTCCAATTAAACGCGTAAGAGCTTGGAAACAATAAGATAAAAGAATGGAGTAAAGAATATTTAAATAACAGTCCTTAAATATGGTATTGCATGTAAAGCTATTATGAGTCTCTCAACTTACGTTTCCTTTTTCTTGTTTAAAGACAATATCATTAAGACACAAATGTATGTGTTTGTACATATACGCTAAAACTTCTTCAAGTTAAAAGGTGTAATATGATAAGTTTATGATGAATTTTTTATTTTTAATTATACTTAGTATGGGATTACAAATAGTGTAGATTACATAATTTACAAATGTGAGGCTCAACCTAAAACTGATTTAATAAAAAATTTTTTGGAAATTTAGAGAGGAGAAAATGTTAGGGTTTTGGTTTCATCATTTTTTGTTTCATATCTTCAGAAGCAATAATATTATACCGGATATGAAAACTACAAATATTCTTAAACAAAAATTTCAAATAAGCTTCTATATAGATTCTGTCGATTACGAAATCGTAAGGTATTGCTATATTTAACAGAGTTACAAAAAATTGATTGGTTCTTCATGTGATAGTGAAAATTTTATTATAAGTATAATAAATCACTCTGAAATACTTAAATTTTCTACAATTTCAGATTTTTCGCTTAAAATATTTTTGGTTATCATAAACGAAAATTAGATTATCTAAACCATAACTTAATTATGGTTTAAGGATTAGGTTAGAGTAGGTTAAGTTTTATATTTGTTGGTTTTTATGATTAAAATACTGAATTACACAACATAAACATTTAGTTCTTAGTTTAAATGTTACGTAGAAATTTATAAAGCAATTAAGTTTAGTTCATTATAAATTCGAGTTTCTTAATATTCCAACTAAACTAGTTTTCTTTCCAAGTTTAGTTGAAGAATTACACTTAGTTCCGAACTTATTGGTAAAATCTTGCCATTTCTTCTAGTATTATATATTACATAATTTTTATTTTACGTTTTTATTTCTAGCTTAATTTATTCAAATCTTACCCAAATTTAACACCACAGTTACATAATGAAAATTAGCCATCGATAAATTTTACGAACATATAGTTTGACTTTTACAAACCCTTCTTATATATATATAAACTTAATTCATGTTTAATTATTTACAGTTAAATGAGAAGGATATTTATTATTCTTATAAGTTAAACTCTGTTTTGTTAGAAATTCATCAATATTACGTGTATAAAATTCATGATTTCAATTACCTATTTTATTAATTTTTTTTATAATCTGAAATTTATCTTATTAAGGTTGATGGCCTTTTAGGGAACATTTCTTAGGAAGCGTTCCAAATACTACATACATAGTATGTTTGATAAGTTGAAAATTTAAAGATTTGTATATGCTTATGTGCATACACATGTAGGTACAAACAAAAATACATTTTCCTTTTTTACAAGCTATTTTCAAATTTTTTTGTTCTAAAAAAGTTCTAAATTTGCCAAATTTCATTTCGACATTGAAATTTGAAGGAAATATTTTTTTATCAATCTATTAAAATTAATAAAACATTACGATACTAGCTATGGAAAGGTATAGGGTAAATTAGAAAACAGCTTGTAAGCGTCATACAGACAGCTAATCGTTTCTTTTTATAGAGCCAATAGGTTAAAATATTATATGCGAATTTCACAAAGTTTAAATGATTACTTAAGAAAGCACAAGAATGAAAGTATTAAATAATCAGAGCAACAGTCTGTCTTCAGTCAGTGAACTATTAAAATGTCCCCGTAATCATTAAAGTTATCTCTTAAGAAGTGCTTTTTGTATACAATGAAATTTACGATGTTAATCAGCGTAATTGAAAAGAATGCGTAAACGTGAAACGTTTCTATTTATAGATGTTTACAATAAATTAGACTTATTAAATCTCGTTTTTCAATTCAAACGAAATTAATCAACTGAATTTAACTCAATAGTAAGATATAGGTCAATTTTATTTTTAATGAATTCTTGGTAATATTTTAGCTTTCTGATTTTAATGTGTTTAAGGATATTTCTATCAATGCTACATCCTTCTTATGTTTTATTAACCTTTATAGATTTATACTATCAAAGCTGGTAAACTACTGCTTTGTTCGGTGGCTATTAAATATTGTTATATTATATAAAGAAAGACGGGTCAGAAATATTTTTTAGGTTTTAATTCATTTGTTATTCGATCTATGCAAAACATTTAATGGTAATTAACCTACGAATATTTACGATTTTATTCTATTTAACCCTTAATCATTATGGTACATGTCACAGACGCACAACGTCATTTTTTCTTTGTGATTGCTTTTGAAATTTTATATGTACTTACCTCTTTTTATTGCTGTGTGTTGAGTTTAGCACCATATGTAATAATAAACTCAACACAACGGTTTAGTACCGTTATAATTTATTTGATTTTTGTGGGGTTATACTTGATTTTAATAACTTAGCGTTAAGTGTTATACGACAAGTTTAAATTGCGCCAAAAATTTTAATCGAAGACTGAGTATTTAATTTAATTTGATAATTATTTTTTTTATAATAAATATTCAAAAAAACAATGGGTCGATTGAACTAAACTAAAACTAAAACTATAAACTAAAAATGTAATTTTTATGAATTAATGTAATATTTTAGTTACTTTTTTTTAATTTGATTTTAGAATGTTAATTTCTGTTTTCAAATGAAGTCAAATTTGATATATATGTAAATATATGAAATGAAAAGGTACAAAAGACGTTCTGCAATGTTTACGGAAATTTTTTTTTGACCATTGTGATTCGTTCTATGATTATGAAAATTCGGAAAAAAAGATTTCATGGATAATTACGGTTTGAAATTTCAAATCAATTAAGATTTTGCTCGTCCATGAAAAAGAGCTTTTTGGACATAGAGAGTTTTTTAAACATAAAAATTTTTGAATTTTTATCATTACCGTAATTTTATGCCTATCTATGTTGGGTTTATGCATTTTCCTTAAAGATTATATAATAAGTCTCTTTAAAATACGTTTAAAAATAGAATGAAGGATGAAGATTAAATTGTTCAATTTTATTTTTAGTAATTACAAAACTTGAAAAATTATTTTCCCTAAAATATTAATACACAAATCGACTTACATACCTCCACTCTATTATTTTGAAATGAAAAAATATAGGCATGATAAAAAATTTTTAATAATTATTTTTTGTGTTTTATACATAAATAGTTTTAGATTAATTTTCATGATCCTTATCAAAAATTTTTGCGTGTTATAAAATTAATTTAGATTAAATGAAAATAATTAATCTGTCAATATAAAAAACATCAAATATCAAAGAGAATAAAACTTTGTCGTACCCAATTTTCCATATTTTTTGCGTTTCCCTTCCCTTGTATTAACAAACACGGAGAATGTTTTTAGTTAAAAATTTTCATTTTTTTTTAATTTTCCAATCAGTTTATGGTTATATAAGATTATCCTTGTGATATTATGTATTTATACATAAGCATTTTAAGAAAGCTGTTTATTATTAAAGGTTACTTTTATTGTTAAAAACGCAATACCTATCAAAATCGTGTAACTTGATTCGAAGAATGATGTGTCAAGAATAAATTTTAGAATTTTTTTGCTTATTTCCTGATAAAATGTTACAATTTTATTGGTGCAACACTCCTTTCGGACAAAAAGTTGTATTTTGATAATAGTGATTTGATCTGAAATTAGTATTACGCCGACAATTACTTTTCCTGAACATTTCATTTATTGGAATTTTCCCTTTTCGTTTTTAGAAGGCAAAATAGAAAACTATTTCTTTGAGTACTTATATTACGTGATTGAAATTTGAAGTAAAATATTTTTACTTATTGTGATAATTTTGAATTTTGATAGCTTTTGATGCCAAAAATCTTTTGATAATTGCTATAGCCCTGTTGAAAAAAAATAATTGAAAGCAAAACTATTAAAAGCTAATAAGTATATATATTTATATTTTTAGATATTATTTATTTTTACATATTTTTTATTGTTAATTTAACATCTGTTAAACCATAGCCGTAAATGCACTTCTTAAAAAA